ACAGTAGCTGTGAAAACAGAGTGAATTCCTCAGGGAGGCGCCAGCCTCATCTCTTCCTCGCCCTTCTGGAGACGAAAGAGGATGCTTGCCTCCCTGAGTGTGGCCTTCATAATTCCATTCATCACAATATGGGAGCATACTTATTGCCATCAATTTGCTTAGAGATATTCCCACACAACATTGTGGTCTTTCACTTACCACATGCAGTTTTCAGACTAATTAATACTACTATTTTTCATACTAACTTTGCTAAGTGCAAAATCTGATCATGCATATCATAGGCAATTTGCATTTAAATATATAGAAATTAGTTTTCCTAGTTGGCTGTTGTAAAAGGGTACAGACCTTTTAATCAAATTAATAGCCATGTTCTTTTATAATATGCTGATAGTTTATTTAATAAACTACTTAGGGTCACATTAAATTTCTAATGAGGTTTCCAGACCAGCAAATAAGCATTAGTATTCATTATCTTCCTATTAAGTCCTTTACTAATAATATTTAACCATGCGAAAGTTATGTTGTGCAGCTATCGAGTTACATTAAAATCTCTGCTACTTGCCCATGAAAATGCTATGTGTAAAATCTGTACTAACCGTTTGTGTTTCCTGTGAAATGAATCCATTATCTATTTTCACTTTTTAAAAACAAATCTAGGCCTTGATCTTTGGAAATCCATGGAAAATATTTCAAAATTGCAGAATTATAATACTAAGGCCATTCTCCTTCACCTTCTCCTTCTCCTTCTTCTCCTTCTCCTCCTCTTTTTCAGTCATGGCTCATTTAGTCATGATTCATTGAGAAAGTTACTAGTGGCTGAATTCACACAAGCTATTTGCAAACAATCATAGCTTGGAGCACACTTTGTCCTTAACCCAAACCAAACATATTACATTTTGGCTTCACTTAATGTGTGAACTCAGCATTATCTTTTTTCAGGGTGTGTCATTTTAAAAGAGGGCTTCCTGGTACATAGTTTAGCTGGATTGGCACATCATACAGCCAAAATATGGTTTGTTTGCTGTGGCTTAGTATTTTGCATGAATCCAGCCATTGTAGCTTGTAAAACAAATAATTAGGGCTACCATATCTGAACTGCATAAATCCAGATGGCCACTAGATGATTTTACACCATTCTACAGAGTTTTGTATTCTCTATATAGTAGCTCTCTCTCTATATGTAGTAGTAGGAACAAAGTCCTAGCCATAAGCATCTCGAAAAATAGCTAACTCTGTAATAGGTATTCTCTATGATGAATTGCATTTTTCAGTGGAACTTATTCTGCAAGGGCTAGCAAAAGGGAAGATACATCTCCATTCAAGGTGAAAAATAATTTGTACTGTAGAAATTTCTACTTAAAAATATCTACTATGCCTATTCACACACACATTCAGACAACATCATAACTGAAATTAAAAGATGTTTTCTTTTTATGAATTATGCAATGTTGCCCAGTTCAGAATTATTGAATAGTGTTGGTGTCATCACTTTTTATATTAATTGCAAACATCTTCTGTAAAACTGGTTTTAGTAAATGCTTGACCACAACTGATTGATACAGCTTGTTGTAATAGAGTCTTTACTTATCCAGACAGTAATTAGATCACAAAAAGCTCTTCCAAATTTGCAACCAGAATACTGTAAGTAAGGACTTCTGAAATGACTAACATTTTCTTGGGATAGCTGAAAATTTTTCATCTTAGTCTCCTCAATTAAAAAAATAGGAGAGTTATTGCTTAAACCCTATCCCCTTGAAGTAGTTTTTACCATACAGTTCCACCAATTCTGCCTAAGTCAGACCCTCCCTTGAGTTCTGAGTCCAGTTCTGGGCACCAGAACAAACTAGAATGGGTACAAGTAAGAGCAATGAGGATGATCAGGGAACTGGCCAGTAAGTGATATTATAAGTGATTGAGGGAGCTAGATATGTTTAGAAAAAAAACAACTGAAGAGGAATATTATCACACTTTTCAGACTGGACAGAGATTAAGGCATCTGTTGTGAATGCCTGAATCTGAAGTTCTGTAGATGGTTGGACTCAATGACCTAAACTTGAGAAACATTCAATTTTCTACATTTATGAAGTAGATTTCATATTCTATAAAATATGCTGAATTATAACTTCCATCCATACCCTCCCATCCTCATTTTGTAACATTCATTTGCTTTCTATACTGAACTGTTGACCATAGGATAACTATATTTTTATTATTTTTTTATTTAGCAGACTTATCCCCGCCCATCTCCCTCCAATGGGGGACTCTGGGCAGTTTACAACAAATTAAAACACATAAATACATAATTAAAATTTATTTAAAAAACTATAACCTTTTATGTATCAGTAATTATTAATGATCCATGAGGAAACCTGTCATCTTATTCAAGGGTTGCTTTACTCAGGAGCCTTTACTGAAGGACTTTGAAACATTTAGAATAAATTCACTTTTTAAACTGGTGTGTGTGTGTGTGTGTGTAGGATCAGATTGTTCATTGCTCTGCTGATTGCTTTTGAATAGATCTGAAAGGGTGCTAACGAAAATGACTCTTGTTTTCCTAACTTTATATGATTGTGTCTTATGTATTTCTTATTTAAAGCCAAATATTGCCATTAGCTACTATTACCTTTGTTTTGGTGCTTTTGTATATATCCAATACTGTGTACAGATATTTAAAAAGGATTTTCTACCACCGGTGCTGTAAGGACTGTGGGAATTCTATAAGATACCTTCAGGGGAACCTATCCAGTTTATCTATTATTTTAATTCTCTCCTCTCATCCCACCCCACCCTCTTGATTCCTCTTGATTTTTTTTCTCTCTTTCTTCTCACCAGCCTCATGCTTACTGTTCTTTCTCTCCCCACTCTTTGCCAGGAGATACCACAGGCAGTTTTGTTTCTCTTTTCTTTTTTTAAGAGTTTAGGTATACTGTAAAGCAAATCTACAGTGCCATGTTTTATTTTTCCAGATGGCCCTTAAAGGAAAAAGAATCAAGACAATATAATGGGGGTGAAGAATACCTGTAGCTCTATTTAGGTGGGGGGGCTCTAGGTTTAAGGACCCTGAACTTTGCCTGGTGATGTTGCCCTGATGATACCACTGTTTCCAAGCAATTATGAATGAAACAAAAACATTTCAAGTGAGGACGCACAAGGGAATCTGATAGGTATAAGCATTTAACCTTATTCAACACTTGTTTTACACATGTTTGTGTACATACTTTTTCTGATGTATCTCAGAACACCAAAGTGATCACTTTCATTTTGAATGACAGCACAGGAGCACAATGTGAGTGGAACTTTAATTTTAATCATTCCTATTTGTATCACTTATTCATAAAAACAGTTTTGATTTATGAATTACTGTATAATCATTGCCATCAAATATCAAAATATTCTGTGTGAAAGTGCAACCACATCTAACTTTCAACTTTGGTGGACTAAGGCACCAGGAAAAAACAGAAGTTATGGTTGATCTTAGCCAAAGGACCACGAAAGAATAAAGAACAAAGTAGCTGAATACAAACCAATTCTAACCCGACACTTAGGTTTGGTGTTCAAAATATATACTGCTCCACTACATAAATCAACATGCATGCAATATATCAAAATATTCATTTTGAATGAAGATAGAAGATAGAACTGATCATTTCTCAGTTGACTTCTTCAGGGAAAAAAAGTAGGAAAAAACCTCTGTTGTCCATCCTTTATCATGCCTTTTGTCATGGATTGTAGGATGAGCTGGGATGAGCTGGGGTCCAGTTTTGGGATGGGAATGAGAAGACAGCCATGTTACAAGCTTCTTTGTATTGGCCCAAAGAAATGGTGTTTGGGTTCTGTTTGCAGTGCAATTTTTTCTGAGACCCCCGCAGGGTTATTGTCTGCCAAAGTAGAGCAGGTATTTAGCCGTGAGGTCTTGCAGGATATGAGGCTTGACTTCTTCCTGTGATAAAAATAGTTCCTAATATGGAGTCTGAATTTCTCATGGAGGGAAGCATAAATGAAAGGATTAAAACAGGCTGAACTCATGGCAGTCACATGGCATGAAACTTGGATGACATTCACATATCGCTTGTCTAGGATAGCAAACTCTTCATCAATATCTCTAATTAAATTAACCACCTGGAGAGGGAGCCAGCAAAGAGCAAAACACAGAACTGAAACCACCAGGATCTGAAAGGTCTTTTCTTTTTTTTTAGTCCGCTTTTCTTGGTTGTGGCATATGGCTCCTGGGATGTTTCTCTTCTGGAGATGGTAAGAAATGGCACAGTAAGAGACCGACACAGCAGAAAGTGGGAGCATGTAAGACAGGAGGAGCATCAGGCAGGAATACAGCTGTCTCTCTGTCTTATGGTGCAGCCAGATTTCTTCGCAGATGATCATGTCATGGCCAATGGTGTTGAGATCCAGGTAATGGGTATGTAAGTAGGTCGGTAGAGAGATCACAAGAGACAGGAGCCAAATAGCAGCCACAATATAGGCACAGGACTTGCATCTCACCCTTTGGCGAATGGGATACACAATCACAATATATCGATCAACGGCAATGGCTGTGAGTGACAGGACAGACACAAATACGGTAGCCCCTTGCATAAGGGTGACAAAGTAGCACATGAACACTCCAAAAAGCCACCCACGACTTTCAAAGGCATACATGGCTGTCAGAGGAACGCAGAAAATGCACATAATCAGATCAGCAGCTGCCAAGTTCCCAATAAGGAAGTTAGTGGTGCTGTGCAGCTTTTTGGTGAAGCTGATGAGAAAGAGGAGGAGAAGATTCCCAGTGCAGGCAACTATCACCAACAGGGCATATAAAGGAATGAAAAGGGGCTTCAGCTCAAAGAGGAGATCCAGGCCAGTGAATAAGGGATCTGAGCTATTAGAAGAGGAGTCATTCAATGGCTGGGAATGGGTCGCCATGTCAGAATTTGATCATGAGGATGCTGGCAAAATCTTTTAAGTTAAAAAGAAAAGGGGAAATTCGTTAGAAAGAAAAAAATTAGTTGCCTGGGAGAGGTTGGCATTGTTCATCCATGTGAAAATGCCTGGTTCAATATGTTATTATCACCAGGACATGGGGAGATTAAAGGTGTAGAGGGGAAACGGCTCCTTTGCACCTGGAGTTGTGTCCAAAATAATTTCTTGTCTGTTTTGAAGCTCTTGCAGCTTTCAATCTTCATCTTCTAGCACTCTTAGGGGCTCTTTAAAATTCATCCCTTGAAACTCCTTGATAGATCACATTTCATTACACTTCCTTTAAAGCTATTTTCCCCCCAAAAGTATTTTCATAAGCTCCTATAAGTATTTTTATTTGCAGCTAGAAATATGTCCTTTTCCCCAGTCTCTCCCTCTTCCGCTTTTTGCCTTTCCCTCTAATTAATTCTGGATGGCAAATCAATCTGAGCTTGACAATTATAATGAGCTATTCTTACATCAAACTCTTCCTTAAAATGCACTTGTTCCATGAAGTTATGGGTTTCACTGCATCTTCATTTAAGCTTCTGTTTGTCCATACTGACCTGCATAAACATAAATAAATGGTAATAGGAAATAATTCCAAGAGCATTATCTCAAAAGATTCGATAAGGAAAACACTGCATTTTTAGAGGTTCATTTTCCTAAAATGCTAGCTTCCATTTTCAGTTAATGCTAATTACTATTCTATTGTTCTCCCTCAATTAAGTGTGCATGTATACCTATACCTATATCTATCCATATCCATATCCATATCTACATCTACATCTATAACTATCACATGCAGCCTGTTGACTGATACTTGCATTAATTGCATATTCCTCACCCATTCCATGGTTCAGCTACGTATATAGCCATATCTCCAGTGAAGGAGAAGAGATACCATTAGGAAGTTTTTTTTCTAATGTCAAACTGAAAACTGTTTCCTTATAATTTGCATTCATTAGCTGTTGTCATGACTCATTAATGCAATAGAAAACAAATTTGTTCCTTCTTCTAATTTCCACTTATTTCCCTGGGATTTAAGCTACAATTGTCTGGCCAGAGGAATTAGTCAGATCTCAATATGTTGTCTGGGAGTAGTAGGAAGCTTTACACATCTGGATGATGGTGAGAAGAAGCTCTGCTAAAACCTGAATCAAATTACATTCTGACTAACGTCTAGTTTGGAAGGTGAAAAATAGTCAGCAGAATACATTTTTCCCAAGTTAATGGTCTCTACTCTGCAAGTATTTATTAAGTACTTCCTATTCTAAAAGTAGTGATGTATCGAAAGACTTGCATTGGATTCCTCCTCATTCCCAGACTGTAGAGGATCTTAGCCTAGATCTCTTTTCCATGCCCTTGATTGTACCACCTACATGAAGCTATCTTTTTCAGATTGTGTCATATGTTAAGAAAACTTTAGTTTATGAGCCTTTTTCATCATGATGAAAATGTAATCCCATTAACCCCAGGAGATGTACTGGTTTCCCCTTCATGGATCACTGCCTTGTCGTGGCGAAGGGGCTTGCGTAACTCAGTGAAGC